ATGTAACTCATGAACAGGGTTTTAATTTTTCTATCCAAGTACAACACTATCCATGTAAAAAGGAGAGAAAGAGGGGGAGAAAGACAGAGAGAAATGGAAATTTCCAGTCATCTACTGAAGCTTTCCACCAGACTTGTCTGAGAAATGTTCCAGGAAAAAAAAGGACTTAAAATTAGTATTTTGTGAAATTAATAATTGACTAGTCAGTCTTAATTTAACAGTCATTCTCAGAAGCTATCTAAATACAATCTGAAAATGTAATAGGATGTTAAGGATATTTCTGACAAAGAGAATACAAGAATTTTTGACACTAAATTATTTGGGATGATACGTAGAATCAGTGTCTAATGTTGTCATTATTTTTGTCTTAATGAAGAGAAGGTGTTCACAGGTCTTCTCTGAGAATGACATATATGTTAAATGTCTGTTCTCACACACCTGTAATTAGCAAGATAGAATATGCGTGAATACTACAGAGAGTGCCCAGAAACTGGGCCATGTATTTTACTATGTTTTGAGCTAACAACAAGAGCTAACAACGAAGCTCGCTGAAGTGCATAAGCTCTGCCCGCCTTCCAGATGGCAGGGAAGTGACGGGGAGACTTCGAGTACTCTTCCCAGCAACAAAGGGAAATGGGAAATCCTGTGGAGGCAGGCGGTCCTGCTTTGCCAAAATTTGCAAAGAGAAACCCAACTCACTGAAGATCTGATACACTTGCAAAGCACTTGATACTCGCCTGAAGATACTGGATCCCCGTATGAGGATGACTGTAGCACTGTCACATACTCCTTTCCCAAGGGAATAAAGGACAGAGCCTCATGCTGATGAGTTGAGCAGAGATCAGGAACGACACCTGATCAACTCCTCCAGCTGGAACGGGAATCCCCTCCACTCCTCTTAACCTGGGATGCTGGGCTAAGCTACCTCCTCATAAGACTGAGACTGAGACTGAGACAAGACTAAGACATAAGACTGTTCCATCAGGGTGCAGAAACACGAGCATTTTCAACTCCTTGTAACTGCACAGTTGCCAGCTGCTATTTACTAACCTGCAAGCCCATCCCTGTAACAACTGCGCCAGTTAATGGTGGATGTTGTTATCACAAAGGTCCTGTGCTGGTGAATGAAACCAGCTAACTAAAGCCCAGGGGCTTTTGCCCCTCTACATTATTCTACTGTGTCCTTTAATGAGCTAGCAGGACACGTGTAAGACTCTGACTGAGAAAGCAGCAGTGCAGATGTACAAGCTCAAGGTAAATGCCATCTCTGTTCCATTTGGTACAGGCTGGTCAATGCCCCCCTACTCATACCATGGTCTGAGGAGCCAGCGTGTGCCAGACCCAGAGAAGGCGGCTAGAGGGCAGGGCAGAGCATCTCGAGCAGGGGGCCCTCAGCCAAGGTTTTGATGTGAGGAGGGGAAGCAACGAATGTGACTAGGAACCCTGCACTGGACTAACAGTGAGGCAGAAAAGAGGTGAGAAACAGCTGGCGACTGGTGAAGCATCAGGGAGGCGACAGAGGCTGCGGGGGTGTGCGGGGAAGGGCTCCGGTCTGGGCGGTGCCTTCCAAACGCTGGTGTCCTTGTAATGCTCCCGGAGCCTGAGAGCCTGGTTGGGGAATGGCCTTGCTCCTGCCTCCAGGAGTCAGTAACACTGTACTCCCACGATTAAAAAACAAACAAACAAAAAAAGAAGAGTTGCTTTCTTCTTATCTTAAGGGCTCAAACCCCTTCAGGACGCAAAAGAATCAGAATTCCTCAGCTCTGTTGCTCTTTCTGGACACTGCTGACACTGCTTAGCGCTATGACCAGCTGATCCCCCCATGGAAGCATATGGAAAGTTGACTTCTCCACTGCTGAAATAGTCTCAGTTTCTTGGCTACTTCACTTTGTTCAAGCATCATCAGAAACGTGAAGGTGACTAGTTAGAACATAAGTGTTCTGGGGAATCACAGGCAATTCTTCCATAGGAGACCCGAAACCCCAGACTTTGCAGGGAAACCTACCATTTGCAATCTGCTAAGTAAAAAACATTTGGGGCAAGTATTCATTTGGCAGATATAAATCCAGCTTTGGAAAGCAAAGGGAGCTATTCTGTCCCCTTTGAAGATAACCTAAGTACAGTAGTACTTTTGTTTATATAATACAGCGTCAAAAAAAAAAAAAAAGACATCTAAAAGCTGTAGAAGGAATTTTGTGTTAGTTTTACTCCATTTACAAGAAAGAATTTATTTGTAGAGGAATTTCAGTAGCAATAACATTGGGTTAAGCTGACATGACCCAAAAGGTACATTTACCATATTTTGTTATTTTACTTTCAATTTCTACTCTTTCGTTTCATTATTTTTCAGATATCTTCGTTTTCTTTACTTGTGCTGTTTCAAGTAATCCTAGATAAAGCAAAAGCAAAAGCAAAAAGAAAGAAAGAAAAAAAAGGTTAGGGAACGAGGACTGGCACTTGCCGGGAAGGCTCACAGAACAAAAACAACCTAAATGTCTAAACTCATTCTGCAACAACCACACAAAGCACCAGAGGCTGATCACAGCCAGTACTTTGCTCACCGCTGGCAGCAGGATTCTGAGATCTGCTTTTGGGCAACTTGGTTGCTGTCCACCTGGGAGCTCTGCTGTTGCTGTGCTTTCTCCTTTGGGCTAATTCATGGCAGGGCCTAAGTTTTGATAAAGCTTCTTGCCGCTCTCTGAAATAACATGAAAACTATCAGCAAAAAACTGCTTTCTTTAGAAAACAGCACAAGCATGGTCGTTTTGCATCCTGTTTTATAAAATGAAAAGAGACACCTGCTTCATTAGGTCTCTCTAAATATTCTAAATTAGGTTCTCAAAATGCCAAAGACATATAACATGGTAGTTCCATTTTACCGTTTGACTGCTGCTACCTGAACACCTTTTATTACGTGCTTCTTTCCTATGGACACGGCAATGGGAACATTTTAAAACTGCTATTCTCAACAAAATGAACACACTCAATTCTTCACTGTCACCAGATCACAGAAGCGAATGTTCGCTATATGCACTATAGTTCGTGTTTTACATTAAGTGTACCAGTTATGTGGCAGACCTCATAACAACGGGCAATGGTTTTAAACAGGAAATGGTTCTTCCCTTTGAAATATTCCACACCTCGTCCAGCTTTTTCAAATTCTTTTGTAAAAGCAAATAAACACTAGCACTTTAAAATAGCTTTATCACTTTATTGCTGTAGCTCATTCTCATTGTTCCTCTTTACCGGAAATGAATTATGTTCTTCAAATACAAAGCCTTGCTGCTCAGGAAAGGAAACAATTCCCAAATACATATTTTTCACATGACAAATATTAGGGTGACAAGTGATATATGTAAATTGCCTAATCATTTCCACAAACCACACACACAACAACAACAAAGGCTGAGCATTTCCAAAGATTCCCTCCAGTAACTTGTTTATAAACTAAGGCATGCTAATACTTAACTGTAACTCAGGCTGGGTTAACAATAAGGGATAATGATAAGCTTGAATACATGGTAAATGTGCTCTTAGTTTCCAGTTCTCCCCCTGTTGCAGAGGACTGAATGCTCACACTGAAAGTCGTCTTGTCTCTCCTCACAGCTGCACTCAAAATATTCTGCAAAGTTTGGGTTGCTTAGCACTTTGAAAATTCAGTTTATTTTCTATTTTGTGGGCAGTGATTGTGCTACAGGGTTATTAGTTTGCTTTCATCTGCTCCCAAAGCTGTATGTAAGAAGCAGCAGTATTTGATGACAGCAGCTGATAAATAATATTACAGGAAAACTGGGAAAGACTTCTGGGTCTCTACAGAATCTCTTAAGCTGCTTTATTTGTCATCTGAGAAAGATTTGATTTTGTTTCATACAAAGACGTAAAAACACAAGTCTAACAAAAGTAACGGGAAATCTATTTCAGATAATATTAAAAAAGGAATAAAAGTATGGGATTTGAAGCTCCTCTGATTTTCCCATATTGACAGTAGCAGATGGTGGAAATCAATTTGCCATTAATTTACTTTCATGTCAAACACTTAATATAATTAAACAAAGTGTCATATAAACACTGATTACTTGCTTTCGAATTAAAATTATGGATAAAGCAGCCTCCTAATTAACATGCTAATATAGTGAAATCTGTTTTCAGTTTCTAAGCTTTGCAGGCTTTTTAGTATCAGACTTCAAAGCTTCCAGACAGGGATTATGGGCAGCAAGGCTAGAATTTAAAGCTAGATTTGTTTAATATTACTCTTTCAGACTTCCAAAGACAGATCTCTTTGGGAGTCTCATCTAAGACTGCATAGTTTTGGTAACGTTTTTGGTTCCTTCTGCAGCCCCATCGAGAGCAGTACGCCATGACTGATGGACAACACTTAACTATCACACAAGAACTATTCCAGTTAGAATGGTCTGTAGAAAAGATGACAACCATCTGCTGAGGAAAATTTCTCCTATTTCCCCTGAAAGTTTATTCAACCAGGTTGTTTCGGTATCTTTTTTAGGATTTCAGGTCTGTTGGGCCACTTTTTGAATGTGACTTACCTGCTTATTAAGATCCTCAGCGACATTAGGAATGTGAATACAGGAGTGATCTGAATTTAACTTCATACACCCACAGACTCCAGGCTCTTTAGCTAATAAAAGATCTAGAGTGAGGCGGTTTTGAAGCATCCTGGTGTTTGCTTGGACCTGCTTATTCAGTTGTGAAAATCCTTTCTCTGTTGCCTTCGCTAATGTTTCTACCTGCCATGAAAATTATCAAGTAAAAGTTTATTTTTACTTGAACAAGTTTGAGCCTGAACAGGAGGAGGTTTCCGTTGGATTTTAGGATTATTCCTGGTGCAGATTTCATGACGCTGTGCAACACTTTTAGCAATGCCACTGATCCCCGGTGCGTAGCTCTTCACTGCTTCAGTCAGAGCCTCTGTTCCCACGGGCACGTTTCACCAGCCCCCTCGCTATGTGTGGAGTCACGACGCCCCGTCTGACCGGGCTTACCCACCATCCACCCGCAGCCTTTTCGCATGTCCATAATCCAGCCAACCTCTTCTCTTTTTCAGGATGCTCGGGGCCTCCATTTTTAAGGTTCTTTCTGGAGCCAGGGCAGCTATGGTTATTGGCACTGCAACTCTTTTGGGAACTGTTGGCAACGCTCTCCTATTTCCTCTGATCCCATTGGTTTCTCCAGGTTGCTGTGCCTTGCAGTGTGCCTCTGCTGTCTCTCTGCTGACAGCCGCCAGCAGCAGCATAATCTCCCTACAGCACTTTATGTGGAGGTAACCATCCCCTTTCCTTCCGAATTGCCCCAAGTGCAGCCCCAGTCTGGGTTTGACAAGGGACTCTCTCTCAGGTCTGAACGATTGGGGTACACCAGTGCAATAGTTTGCCACGTACACTCCAACAAGGTAATATTAGGCTTCTTACCTTGCCACTGCTCCACTTCTTTTGCCAATACATTACCAAAGAGCAGGGCTATTCTTAAGCCCCAGAGGGAGCACGGTCCAGCACAGCTGCATTTTGCTTCCTGCTGTGGGGCTTTCCCACTGAAAAGCAAACAGCTTCTGACTTTGTTCTTCCCACAGGATACAAAATAAAGTGTCATTTAAACCCAATATTGCAAAGAGATGTTTTACTCAACTAGTGTCGTTAATAGGGGCTAGGTACCACCGGCTATACATCAACTACTATTTCACTGATAGCTCTCAGGTCTCCTACTAAGTGATATTCCTGTAACTGACATTCTCCAATAGCCTACACTTTGTCTCTGATAATTCCTGCAACATATGTATCCGTGCTACCCAAGCATTATTTAGTGGTATATGTGCTTGACCCTTGTTTTGATCAAAAGTTATTTGTGCTCCAAATTTATTTCTCAAGTCCCCTTTATATATGCATTCTGGCATATATAAAAATTCCAGTGTGAAAATCTTATTCCCAGCTTCGCATTTTATTTCTTAAAAAAAGGGCTCTCGCTTTCCTGTGGCATCAATTACTGACATAGAGAATTTAGTCATTGGTCCTTTACAACTATTTAATACCAAATATGTTGCCCCAGTATCTACTAAAAATTTAATTACTTAATTCCCCAGCCTTCTCGATCCACTTTCTGAAGTATTTCCTCATATCTGGTGCTGACTGTCCCCCAAATAATGCAGTAAAAGTTATCTTGTTCGTTTCATCTTCAGGATCCAAGTCTGTTCAATCCTCCCTTTCCCAAGGGACCAACATTTGCACATCCTCTTCCTCATCATCCACTCACAAACAGATTTTCAAACATTTTTCTCAGTACTGCAGGCCAAACAAAACCAAGACACCTCCTTTTTGTTCTCCATCATCATTAACACATTCAAATCAGATACCAAAAATCACATTTCCTTCTAACATCTCTGAATCGGATATGAACAGTTAAGATTTCTTTCTTGTTTCATGATAATTTCTCAAAGGAAAAAAAAATCTACATAAGGGATTTCATCCCACTGATCCTGCCTCCTGCAAAATAACATGTAACAAAATTGTGTTATATCTCAAAGTTCCACTCTCTGGCCTCTTTTCTTGGTCTTCCAGAGCGTACAGTGGCCACAAATGACTACAATACACCACAAGTTGTTTCCAAGTAAGGGGATCTCCCCCTACCTTTCCCCAATGTTTTAGATGCCAGAGATCCCTCTTTCTGAGGAAAAAGCATCACCCGTCCTGCTGATATGTTGTGCCTTGCAACAATTACTGAACACAAAGCTCAGACGAGAGTACCCGATACGATACGAGAACACCTGATGCCGTCCCGAGTTTCCACACCACGGTTACCCAGCGGCACTGCTCTGACCTTAACCTTAACCCTCTGGTGGGACTCTAACCCATGGAAGCCTGGCCTTAACCTTACCCCTTTTGCCGCTGCTACCCCGAACCCCCTCCCTGTGGATCCCTCGCCTTGCCTGCTGTCGGCACCCTTGGCATGGGCATCTAACCCATCCCCTTAGGTTTGGACCTCAAGCCCAGCCCTGCAAAGCTTTCGCCTCAACCTACGGGCAGGCCTTTTTTTAAGGGTCCTCTTATTAACAAAGGAATGCCTTCACCTAACCAGAGGTCTTGCTCAGGGCCTGCTGGTCTGGAGATAAGCTGGAGGTTTTGCGATCCCACGGATCCGCCGAGATTCAGAAGCAGCGCCCATGTGGGGTGCCAGAACCTGCCATCGAGAATCAGGAATGAACCTCTTAACACCGACACAGTGTTGGGAAGCAGGCACTCTCATTTGTACGGTGCTGGGTGCGCAGGGATAGCTCCTCCGAACGTGTATGCCGTAGGTCGCTTTAACCAAAGCTTCGATTTCCCTACTCTCTACATATGCATTAAATCTTCCTGTATGATCATACATATTCATTCCATTTCCTAGAGCTAATTATGACATACCCCACCCCCAGGTGGCCTCCGTCCCTTCCATGGTCCCTGGGGGTCCTTCGAGACCCCTGTGGTCGTCTCTCCGTGTCCTTTGGATGAACCTTGGTAACTCACTTCCATACACGGTCCCATTTTGGCTCGGAGAGCCCTGTTTTGTCCCTGTCGCCCAATCCCAGCCAGTTCCTTTGCGATACAGTGGTCCTTATCTTCATGTTCAGGCGATGTTTGCTGTCTTGTCCCTACTCCCTCATGAGGTACCAGCAACAGCAGCGAAAATCAATGTCCTTGGCTGCGTTCTTATCTGGGGCTTCTCGTAACAACTAGGGAAAACATTATGTCATTACCATGCCGTGTGCTCTGCAATTGTGCATATACCTAACTACCCTCCCATAGATGTGAGACATCAGAGGCGACTCGGAAGTTGTTTTCCTCATTACCTGCTTCACTACATTTTCCCGCTACAAGAAAACACCCAAACTCAGTTTCAGTTTTTCAAGCTACTCATTATCCTTTCCTCTCCCTACCCCAACTTGGGGAAAATTCTGTTTAATCTTTTAAAGATTGACCAAGTTTCTTACTAGAACATTTTTCCTGATACTCGCTCAGATTTCTCTTTTCTGTGTGTCATGCAATCCCTCCTATGACTGGTATTGGACTTCAAAGTATGACCTTGGAAAATCAAATGTGGTCCAGATGCTGTAAGCTGGATGTGGGACCGGTCATCAGCAGATACTTGCTCCCACTCAATAAAATGCAAAGTGGAGAAGAAAACTTTTCCTGAGTAATATTTCAAAATAAATAATGTCCCTGCTATCTTCAAAAATAAGGTTACTTCAAATAATAAGAGAAGATGGTAACAAACACCGAGTGGGAGGGAGGGTGACTAATACAAACATTCTTTGTAATCATTTTTTTTGAAATGGTTTCAAAATACTTTCCTCAACTGAAGAATTGGGAAGAAAATCAGGGAACCAGGGAAAGCCAACAAAGCTATCATACTTCATTAACAGAGACCATACACAGTCCTGCGCTTCAAGAGCAGACTTTGGCCTCCTAAGGGATCTGCTTGGAAGAATCCCATGCAGTATGGTCCTGGAGAGAAGAGGGAACTGAATGGAAGGCCAGATGATTGGGAGAGGTTCCCAAGCAGCAGGAGAAAGCAAATGCCACTCTTGCCTTCAAGAAGGGCAAGAAGGAGGATGCTTGGAACTACAAGCGGATTGGCCTCGCCATGATCCCTGGGAAGGTGGTGGAGCAAATCCTCCCGGGAAACATTTCCAAACAAATGAAGGACAAAAAGGCGATTGGAAGTCGTCTGCTTGATTTCACCACGGGGAAATCCCACTCCATCAAGAGAGATTCAGTAGATTTCTAAAACCTTTCAACCTAAAGCAGTTAACTAGAATCTCCAATTCATGCATGAACATACAGAACAAAAGAATTAAAATGTTTTCTTTAAATGGGCATTTAGACCGAAATTAAGAAAGTTTCTTCACTTTTTTTTTAGGGGGAAAGGAAGTTATACATAACAGAATGATAGTTTATATACTGTGGACTCGACACAGAGAATTGGAGTTTTCTAATACAGTTCTACAATGCATTTCTACATCCTCCTAACTGAAGTCTGTGAAAGCTTCAGATCTGATGACTAAACTGCTGTGTGCAAGGCAGTGACAAAGAGTAAGGAACTGCAGTATTATCATACAGATAAAAAAAAGGCTGTCAGTATTTAATGGATGGCAACCCTGATTCAAAGCCTGTTCACATAGCAGGATCCACTGACTACTGAAGGCTTTGGATCCAGCTCATTATGGTCCCTGATTTGTTTGGGCTTTACTGCGTATCATATAACCTGTGCAAAAATCCTACATGATCAAACTCAATATGTACAGAGTGGGTGTGGCTGTATATATGGATGTACAAATAAAATCTCCTATTGATATTAAAATCAACATGATTTTTGAAAAGAGCATGAGGAGATGTCTTAGAAAAAAATAAATTTGAGAATTTATTTTAGTTTACGAAGATGCAGTTCTATAGAGTGCAAGAATATTCTACCCAGTTTGCATAAGAACTGCTGCTAATATAGAATTTGAGTGTAAAACACAGTTTTTACTATTCAAGACTGGATTTCTGAACATCCTGGGGCTTTCTGAATGCATCCTCTGGAATGCATATTTATTATTGTGTCTCACTTTAAAGCTTCTGCTTCAAAAATATAATGCATAATCAGTTTGATTATGTGACAAGCTGTTCAATCCCTTCCTGCAGAAGCAATTTTCTGGGCCACTTTTGCATGAGACTTCCCTTTTTAACAACAACAACAAAACTTCACAGATAATTTCTGGGGGAATTCTTTCAGGAAGCAATTATACTCATTGTTTCTTGAAAGCTAATTATGATGTGATATTTCTAAATAATTAGTTTCTTTCTTTTTTTTTTCTTCAGAAAAGCAGAAATCTACTTAGGCACTGGCAATGGAAGCCATTCATAGAATATTTAAAATACAGCCCTTTGGAAAAGAAAATGGAAATAGCTATAATTTTGTCTAGCTGAACCTCTTTCAGAAGTACCATTCAGTTTTCAGTCCTCAATGAGAAGAATGAAGGGATAAAATTGCATCTGCAAATTTATTCTAAACATTTTAACATTCATTCAAGTGATAACATCTTTATTTTTATCTTGTAATGTGTTTGAAAAGGATGCCACAGACTTATATTACATGCTTTACTGTAACGATCTTAATTTTTACTGAAGGTGCAACCAACGATTCCAGAAAACAACAGTGTTTTCCAATTAATGCCAATAAAAAGCTAGTCCCATGAAAATTACATTGGATAATAAATGTAAATGTATCCAGTCATTATCTTTAGGAATGACATTTGCCCTTGATGATCCCCCTTCCTGCTGTAAATCTGGTAGGTTTAGGCTCAAGGGAAAAAAAGTCCCTGTAACAAGCAAAGTAAGTAATCCCAAGAGTTTGTACTTCTTATGCCTAGAAATTCCTACAGGAGCAGACCGTGAACTTGGCAAAAAAATGAAAGACTAGATTTGTACTCGAGACAACTGAATATGACCTAACAGAAAGGAGTTGTCCCTGGCTGTTGCAAAAGTGCCCCCTGTAAAGCTGACACTTCTTTTAAACTCCTCTTTTTGGGGCAGATCACTACTACATATTATTTATTTTCCCAGTGCTACTGCTCTGAGCCCTCAGGTGAAGCCATGGCCTTCTGGCACCTGTCAGAACAGTCCCACATGTGGAATCTGATTTCTAAAAACACTGAGCAGGGACAGGCAAAGTCAACAGCTACTGGGGGTGCTTAGAAACTCTTCTGAGCATCTCTCCATGCCTCTCACAGTAGGTACCTCATCGCCAAAGCACTTAAAACTTGTGAACTCTCTTTCTAGGAAGAAATTATCACTGGAAAAGGAATATGACAATACCCATTTGCCTAGCAGTGATATTATATAGAACAACAGTATTCATATTCCTGAGACACTTGAGCACTGTGACAACGAAAGCCACACAGACAAGCAAAATAAAAAACAGGTACGAGGAAAAGAAATACTTCTGTGCTGCCTAAAAATAACATACAGTAAGCTAGGTCTGGGGCCGCAACAGGACTAACGGGAGAAGCAGAAGTACTGAGCAGTTGCCTCATCCGCTAGGCACTGCTCATCAGGTTGCTGTTGGAGGTGAGCACCCCACGGTAAAAACAGCAGGTGACAGTTGTGAGTACAAGACAACGTCCCTAACGATTGCTTTATGAGGCATCTACACGGGGGAGACAACTGCAGGGAGGTCCAACAGCCACAACAAGGTTGTACAAAAAGGTTGAACAAGGTTCCTAACTGTGGGGCTCTGCTAGTTTAACAATTTTCTATCAGCTCTTTTAAATAGAAGTACATTGTATACAACTAAACTTCAAACCTGAACATATTATATGATTACTACTTTTTTTAAGGCATCATGCAGAATGATCTGTGTTTTTATTAATATGTACTCCTTTACACCAAGCACATTGCACCACACCTGACACAGAACTTTAATGTATCGAACATCAGATTTCTTCTCAATACACATTCAAGCAGCAATACAGCTAGCATATGCCCAACTTTCTATTTTCCTTAGAAAATAAGATGAACTAAATATGCTGTGTAACAGGTATTGCAACACTGCTATATTTTCATATCACTATTAAGATAAAATTATATAAATACTTATATCAAACACTATTTCTCAGTTTTACACTGATATTTCCTTGATCTATTTAAAAACTTCCTGGCATAACTCTGTGAGCACCAAGATATCTATGCCTTGAAAAAGCCTGACTTGTACATGGACTTTACCACTGAAAGTGCTATTTTGCTAGTAAGAACTTACCCCAGTATCTTACTGATGAATAGTTTTAAGCCAGAGAAATCTGCTTCCAGAATACGTAGTATCTCCTTCGAGGGAATTTACCAAAACAGCTCCTCCATTGCCAGATCTAAACTTGGACATAACAAAAATGTAAACAAGGCTGTAAAGTAACCTCTTCTGTTTAGGCACCACTCTGACTTTTCCTGATGCTCAATGGCTTGAGTTCTTGTGCTTAAAAAACTACACCGAAGATGGAAGGATTAATTTAACATGTAGTTTTGAAAAGTGAGGCAGTCATTTCCTGGGATGGAAAATGAAAGCAGGAAAGACAGATTTTGGAGATATTAGATGTGAAGATGGACAGTTGGTGAGCTATCCCTCACGTCTGGGTGTTGAACGGTCTCTCTCGGTCCCATTTGAGAGTTACTGAATATTTTTTCCACTCTCATAACATCACTGACAACAGAATTACTCCTTCAGGATCCATGTGCTCCTAAAAGGTTTA